ATTATTATATTTAAGGAAAGTAGCGTTTTTTTAATTCAGAATTGTTTCACTTTCATGGAGATCCTGAACCTCTAAGTCCAACAAATATGGAGAACCGACTTCACCCAAAATAGTGTATACTAATTCAGATTTCTGATATCCATGTAGATCAGCAGGAATCGCTTGACAGTGCTCAATCTTTTTGTTTCAATCTTAACATAAATAATTATCTACAACTCAAGGGGTGAAGATGATGGAAATAATTGGGTGTCCATGTATTCAAATGCATACTCACTTTTCTTTCCTTCGACCTTCCAGGGCTGCCATCCGAGACAATGTGGAGTTGATCCGGCTCCAGAAGCTTTTAAGGGCAAAGAATTCAGAACTGGCGCTAACCAAAGCCCAGTTTGCTGGCTTACAGGAAGTAAGTCCTGTTACTTCAAACTTCTCACTTGCAAACTCTCCTTGCATCTCTGTACAAGTTTTTCCCAACCTGGCAGTCTCCAGAATGATTGAACCACAGCACCCATCACCCCAGAGTTATGGAATTTGTAATCCAATTCATTGGGAAACTGGCTTCTCTATTGATCCCTATTATTCTCTGTCATTCCGGACACTTTTTGAAATAATCTGCAATAGGGATAGGCCAGATGCTGCTTGGGACCACATATGGGCTTTCAATTATGAGTTTAACAACAACAGCCCTGCAAGGTAGAATTGCCTTCACCAAGCCCGAATCTGAGAAAACCTATGCTACAAACCTATACTACAAAATCTCTATATCCACAGGGAATACGTTCCAAGACGTTTAAATGATATATGAAAATGTGGGTAATAGTGAACCCTAATGAATGAATGACTTCTGGCCTCAGCTTGAAATATAGTCACTCTGGAGGATTTAGAACATGCCTAGAGAGGATATATTTTGTTGGATGTGGATCAATGAAACAGCAAATACCAATCCCACACACAGAAACATTCCCTTCTTCCTTGCCGTTCATGTCCCATTAACACATCACTTTATTTTCTCTCCCACTAGGCTTATGAGAGTCATCTCCAACAGGTAACTTTCTGAATTCTGTTGAATGAGATTCAAGTTCCAAGTCTAGGTAGGAACCCATTCAAATCTCATGTGATTTTTTTTTGTCTTTCTTTTTTCCAGAACCAAGAGGCATTGAGGTCAACCAGTGAGGCCTTGTTGACTCAGGTTGAGGAGCTCAATACACACCTGAAGGAGGAGACCCAGAAAGTCACAACCTTACAGAGTCAGCTGGAAATCCTTTCTCCCTTGCAGGGAACCCTGAAAGATGTAATAATAATAATAATAATAATAATAATAATAATAATAATAATAATAATACTTAATTTTTATACCCCGTATCCATCTCCCCAGAGGGACTTGGGGCGACTTACAAAGGGACAAGCCTGAAAGCACAGAGTTAAAACATAATGCAATAAAATAAAAACAAAACAAAACAAAAACATATCACAATAAAACATAACATCATAAAAACAATCCCACACAGAACAATAAAAGTGCTGAGTTCAGAGGGCTCTGGGTTTGTGCAAATTCCTAGATAGAGCTAAGGGAAAGTGCAAAATTCAGTGGTAGGGATACAAGAGTAATATCTTTGGGCTTTATAATGTCAGGATTGTAGAGCGGAGGGCCATGCTAAAGTGCCCGAACTTAGGTATTAAAGGGCCAATTCTTTGGAACTACTTAATCAAAGGCACAATGGAGCATCCATGTTTTTAGGTTCTTGCAAAAGGAGGACAGAGTAGGTGATAGTTTCTCGGAGGGCACCACCGAGAAGGCCCTCTCCTTCGTCCCCACCAACCACACCTGAGACAGAGGCAGATGCGAGAGAAGGGCCTCCCTGAATGATCTTAGGGCTCATGTTGGTTCATCGGAAGATGCGATCGCGAAGATAGACAGGTCCTGAACCATTTAGGGCTTTGTTGGACTTCACAAGGTACGGGCGCTGCTGGCACACAAACTTTAATTGTGCAAAGGCCCTCCCAGCCACTGCTGACACCCAAGCATCAAGTGTCAGAGTGGAATCGAGAATGACCCCCAGACTGTGGACCTGTATCCTCAGGGGGAGTGTAACCCCGTCGAGCACAGGTTGCCACCCTATACTCTGATCGGCCGAGCTTCAGCTTGTTAGTCCTCATCCAGTCCATCACAGCAGCCAGACAGGGGACATCTGGAACCATCTTGTAGTAGAGTTGCGTTGTGTGCTTTTAAGTCACTATTGATTTATGGCAAACCTAAGGTGCTTCTGTCTGGTGCCAAGAGTGTGTGACTTGCCCAAGGTCACCCAGTGGGTTTTAATAGCCAAGCGGGAATTCGAACCCTGGTTTCCAGAGTCACGGTTCAACACTCAAATCACCATGCTAATGATTATTTACCCTGTAGACGATGGTACATCCCTTAAACTGACTCTTTGCTATTTATTTATTTATTTATTTATTTAATCATATCAGAAGCTAATTGAGAATACAGTTATAATGTGTGAACCACAAACAAAGTTAAAAACTTGGCATTATACTAATTTCTTTGACCAGAAGCTGGCCACTTCAAGTGCCTCTGGTGTCACTGTAAAAGGTCCTCCATTGTGCATGCTGCAGGGCTCAGACTGCATTGTAGTAAGTGGCCTGTGGTTTGCTCTTCTCCGCACTCTCATGTTGTGGACTCCACTTTGTAACCCCATTTCTTAAGACTGGCTCTGCATCTCGTGGTGCGAGAGCAGTCTGTTCAGTGCCTTCCAAGTTGCTCAGCCATCTGTGTGCCCAGGAGGGAGTTTCTCATCTGGTCTCAGCCACTGATTGAGGTTCTGGGTTTTGGCCTGCCACTTTTGGACTCTCGCTTGCTGAAGTGTTATTTTGAGTATCTCTATAGATCTTAGGAAGCTATTTCTTGATTTAAGACAATGGCTTGCTGGCTGATATCTCAATAGAAGATTGGCCGGAGATGTCCATGCTTTGGTCCTTTTATTACAGGCTGCTATTTCCCAACAGATATCAGGTCGTGCAATACTGCTAAACACTATAATTTCTCCAGTGGTGTAGGGTGTAGACATCCTGTGATAATGTGGCATGTCTCATTAAGTGGGTGGCGACATCCACTGTGTTTGTTATAAGAACATGGTTAGGGATGCTATTATCGCCGCCTGGCATTGTGTCTAAAGACTCAGTCAGGCAGATGTTGTTTCACTGTGTTTCGTGGTTTTGGATTCCCATGTTGTGCCGAGTCAGCTTTTGTATGGATATCAGTCGTGTTCTCGACACCCGGTCACTTTCGTGCTTGGTTTATTGTTAAGTGTTCGTTTGCGTCGCTGTAAAGCGTTCAAGTGAGCTGTGCCAGACAGCTGACTCCCGAGGGGACTCTTATAAGTCAGAGCATGGTGCAGTATTATTTGGGTGTGCTGCAATGCTCCAGTGGGATTCCTTCCCAGATAATCCTCAAGAGCTCAAGATGCTTGTCTGTTCTTAAGATGAAAAGCATGTGTCTGTGTTTTAGATGGATTAGGAATCAGCTGATTTCCCCTGTAATAGGCAGAGCAACTAAAGCTTTGGAAAGCTTCTGTTCAACCATTTCAAAGTGCCTTGCTTGAGCAGTGATGGCATGATCGTCAGCATAGATTAAACTCTGTCCCTTCTGGCAGTGGCTGATCATACGTTTAAGTGTGAACATTGATGGAGCAAGCACGCTCCCCGAGGCAATCTTTGCTAACCCAAGTCTTAGAAACTTTGGGTTGCACTCTGATGTTGCTCAGCATACATGTCCTGGTTTTCCTCTATGAAATATAGGAGGGTATGTTCCTTTCTTAGTTTCAGGAGCGCGTCCGTGACCTGGAGACCGAACGGGATTTGCTGAAGATGGATTATGACAAGCTCCTTGAGAGGTGAGATTTTCTACCTGTCCTCTTTTTAACATTTATAGCCCTCAAAACGTGCCATTTGTTATTCATTATTTACTTATTTACAGTATTTATATTCCACCCTTCTCATTCCGCAGGAGGCCCAGGGCGGATTACAATTTATTTATTTATTTATTTATTTATTTATTTATTTATTTACTTTATTTGTATACCGTTGTTCTCAGCCCTTAGGCGACTCACAGCAGTTAACAACAGAACAGCAAAAATTCAATGCTACAACATAAAAACAGTTAACATCATAACACTTTATACAATAATATACAATTAACAACAACACTCATTGCACTGACTATTCGAACGCCTGCTCAAACAACCAGGTCCTCACTTTTTTGTGGAATACCATTAATGATGAAGCTAGTCTAATATCCATGGGAAGGGCGTCCACAATGCATATATACATGGCAAATGCCATTAGACGTACAACATATATAGACAGACACAGAGGCAATGTAACATTCCAGCTTTCCAGTTTCATGACAGTATGCTTGATTCCGGCCACTGGGGGAGCTGCTGCTTCACTGTCCACTTGTGACACCGAGTCCTTCATGGAGTACTTCCTCATTCTTATGCACGCTGCTGGAAGGTTTTATGGTGTCGTAAATTAGTTAAATTTGCCTCCCTGCATAAAGTGGTACCTAAATATCCTACTTGACAGAGGCAACTGTCTTTCGGGCTGCATAGGTTAACAGCAAGCTAGACTATTAATAGTCTGGAGCTCACTCCGACCCAGGCTGGCTTCAAACTCATGACCTCTTGGTTAGTAGTGATTTAATGCAGCTGGCTACTAACTAGTTGCGTCACAGCATGGTCATCTTGTTGTCATCTTTTTTTTATGACAACATAAAACAGGGTATATCTGCACCGAAGCATTAGACCAATTTAGCACTGCTTTAACAATCATAGCACCATTCTTTGGAATCATGAGATACATAGTTTGGTGAGGGACTCTGCATCCCTTTGCTTTGAATAAAGCTCTAAGGCTATTTAAGTCGAGATAGCCTTAATATAAATTCCAGGATTTTGTATGATGACAGTTAAAGTGCAATCAAATCCACAGGGTGCATCTACACTGTAGAATTAATACAGTTTGACATCACGTCAACTGCCAAGGCTCAATGTTATGAAATCATGTGAGTTTCCCCCCAGCTTCATCTGTGTGTCTTTAGTTGCATGACCGCTACCCAGCAAAATGTGGATGAGGTGCCCCAGAAGGACAACGCTCCTTGTCCAGAAGCTCAACTTGCCTTGATGACCGCAGAGAAGAAAAGGCTTGAGGAGCAGCTAGAAAAAGAAATAGGTGAGGAGTTGGCTGCCAACTGGCATTCTATGAGGACTGATTACAGGGCTTCGTTGAGACATCACAATAAACAAGGGTTTGTGCTATCCATAGTTTGTTGCTTAAACCATGCATGGCGGATGACCAAACCAAGTTTGAGGTCCATTTCTGGTCTGTTTCTCTGCCATGTCATTTGTTAGCTCCTATTTCAGGATAGGTAACTGAAGAAATGAGCCAAGGACAAAGCAAAGATGACACAACAAAAAAGGATTTAAACAAGAGTCCCCGTGAACAACTTGTTGACAAGTTAAACATTAGCCAACAATGTCATGCAGCAGCTAAAAACGCCAATGGGATTTTGGCCTGCATAAATAGGAGCATAGTGTCTAGATCCAGGGAAGTCATGCTCCCCCTCTATTCTGCCTTGGCCAGACCACACCTGGAATCACACAGGGTCCAATTCTGGGCACCACAATTGAAGGGAGATGTTGACAAGTTGGAATGTGTCCAGAAGAAGGGCAACTAAAAGGATCAAGAGTCTGGAGAACAACCTATGAGGAGCGATTTAAAGAGCTGAGCATATTTAGCCTGCAAAAGATAAGACTGAGAGGAGATACGATGAGGCCATGTATAAATATGTGAGGGGAAGTCATAGTGATGAGGGAGCAAGCTTGTTTTCTGCTGCCCTGGAGACCAGGACTCAGAACAATGGCTTCAAACTACCAGGAAAGGAGATTCCATCTGAACATTAAGAACTTCCTGACTGTGAGAGCGGTTCAGCAGTGGAACTCTCTGCCCCGGAGTGTGGTGGAGGCTTCTTCTTTGGAAGCTTTTAAACAGAGGCTGGATGGCCATCTGTCGGGGGTGCTTTGAATGCGATTTTCTTGCTTTTTGGCAGGGGACTGGACTGGATAGCCCGTGAAGTCTCTTCCAAGTCTACGATTCTATGATTCTAAGCCAGCATCCATAAGCCAAAAACATTAACCAACACCCATGGCTTCTGATTGTGGTTTGTGTCTGGTTGATCATAGCTGTTTAACAGAAGCAAGTTTTACATCAGAACAAACCAGGTTTCAGTTAACCATACCATGATGTATTGTAATGTGCAAACACAACCAGAAATGCAAATAAACATATAAGACACTTGCTGTATTCTGTGTGATGGTAAAAACAAAACCTGGAATATTAGGATTAAAAATTAACCCATCAATGGTTTGTTGTAGGTTTTTTCGGGCTGTGTGGCCATGTTCTAGAGGCATTTCTCTTGACATTTCACCTGCATCTATGGCAAGCATCCTCAGAGGTAGTGAGGTCTGTTGGAACTAGGAAAAAGGGTTTATATATCTGTGGAATTACCAGGGTGGGACAAAGGATATGGACAATTTCAACAGAAAGGAGGAAACCATGAAAATGAACAAAATCTGGCTACCAGTATTAAAAAAACTCTAAAATTACAACAGCAAAACAACAGAGGGGAAACAATCAGGCACATCTAATCACCTCTCAACAAAAGATTGCCCCAGGCATTGCCAGGCCATCAAATGCTAATAAAGGTGGTCAGTTGAGACATTCAGATCTAGCTCCAGCAGACAAGAGTTCTTTGCCCCACCTTGATCATTCCACAGATATATAAACCCACTTTCCTAGTTCCAGTAGACCTCACTACCTCTGACAATGCTTGCCATAGATGCAGGCGAAACGTCAGGAGAAAATGCCTCTAGAACATGGCCATACAGCGCAAAAAAACCTACAACAACCCGGTGATTCTGGCCATGAAAGCCTTCGACTATATCCCATCAATGCTTATAATTGAGAATGAGGACATTAATCAGTTATTGTTGACATTGGGAAGGCTGAAATCTATTGGATTAACAAACTTTTATTAATTTTTAAATAATGGAGTTTTAATTAAATGGGGGGGGGGGGGGTATAGTTTGCTATTGATTCATTGAAAATAAGTCAATTATTGCCCCCAATGGTGCAATGGGTTAAACCCTTGTGTGGGCAGGACTGAAGACCGACAGGTCTGAGGTTTGAATCCAGGGAGAGCGCGGGTGAGCTCCCTCTGTCAGCTCCAGCCCCCCATGCGGGGCCATGAGAGAATCTTTCCACAAGGATGTTAAAACATCAAAACATCTGGGCATCCCCTGGGCAACATCCTTGCAGACAGCCAATTGGGTTGTTGTAGGTTTTTTCGGGCTATATGGCCATGTTCTCTAGAGGCATTCTAGAATGCCTCTAGAACATGGCCATATAGCCCGAAAAAACCTACAACAACTCAGTGATTCTGGCCATGAAAGCCTTTGACAATACAGACAGCCAATTCTCTCACACCATAAGCAACTTGCAGTTTCTCATCATCATTAGTTATACAATGGGGATTAAGGAGGACAAAGTCATAGCAAGGGAATGATCCACCAAAACCCATTTTGATAAACCTCACGAACTCTTCTGAGCCTTTTTCTCTTCCCTAAAGCTCATAATGAGGAGCTGAAACAGAAAGTGAGTCTGCTCCTCGCAACTGCGCAGGAAGTTGACGCTCCGCAGGAGAAGTCAACCATTGTGGAAAACCCAACAAGAGAGGAAGAGCCTCATTCCCATCAAATTCAGGTAGGTTTGGGGGTTAACCAAGTCTAACAGAGTATACTTGTGTAGACCACAATGGGAGGGAAGGAAACAGCCAGAGGTTCACTTCTGGTTTGGGAAAATGGGTCTTAAATATATTTAGAGCAATTGGCAACCTATTTCAAATGATGATGTTTCTTTTCTCCTTTGCCTTGCAGCCCCTGATCCTAGAAGGAGAGATGGAGATACCAATGGAGAAGGAAGAGGTATTTAGCCAACTGAGTCTAAAGCGAAAACTGCATGAGACCGAGGCCGCCCATGCGGAGACTGCGTTAGAGCTGGAAAAAACCCGGGACATGCTCATTCTGCAACACCGCATCAACCGGGACTATCAGGTGAAGTGTCCTGTTGGTGGGACAGTGAGGTCTTGGAGGACTTCCAGGTGGAGGGGATTCACAAATAAGGTATTATCTTGAAATACTTAACTGGCCTGGAGGCATAGTCTGTATACAGTCAGCTCTACACAATTGCAGTTTTGATACATGGATTTTATTAATATGGTCTCTTTAGGAATCTTTACGTCCTTTAGCACGGCTGTATGGTCAACATCTGACTTGGCCACGGTAGTCCACGCTCTGGTTACATCCCGCATTGATTACTGCAACGCGCTCTACGTGGGGTTGCCCTTGAAGACTGCCCGGAAGCTTCAGATGGTCCAGCGCTTGGCAGCCAGGTTGCTAACGGGAGCGGCACTCAGGGAGCGTACCACTCCTCTGTTGAGCCAGCTCCACTGGCTGCCAATCTGCTACCGGGCACAATTCAAGGTGCTGGCTTTAGCCTATAAAGCCCTAAACGGTTCTGGCCCCACTTACCTCTCCGAACGCATCTCCACCTATGAACCGACTAGAACATTAAGATCGTCTGGGGAGGCCCTGCTCTCGGTCCCGCCTGCGTCACAGGCGCGCTTGGCGGGGACGAGAGACAGGGCCTTCTCAGTGGTGGCCCCTCGGCTATGGAATGCCTTACCAGTAGACATCAGACAGGCACCATCATTGCTGGCGTTTCGGAGAAAGGTCAAGACCTGGCTTTATGAACAAGCGTTTGGTTAACAGTGCAACCGAACATAGGAAGACGGTAAATGGAACATAGGAATGATATAAGGATTACGAGATCGGATCTGATTTCATTGAGGCGCTATGTTTGTTTCATGTTGTTTGTTAATTGTTGTGGATCGGTGTTGTTGATCCTGTTGTTATATTTGTTGTATTTTTAATTGCACTGACATTGTTATGATAATTTGTACCTGTAAACCGCATTGAGTCGCCTTTTGGGGCTGAAAAATGCGGTATAGAAATAAAGAAAATAAATAAATAAATAAATAAATAAATAAACATCTGTCAGAGTTTGACCATAGAGTGACTGTATCATGCTCTCTTTGGGGGTTTCTGGGTTTAGGCGGAGCTGGAAGGAGTGCTTCTGCAGGCCAATAGAGAGAAGCAAGAGCGTGAGGAGAAGCAGGAGAAGATGGCCCAGCTTCTGGATCTAAGGAGCTCCCGCATTCGCCAACTTGAAGGTATGGCAGGTAGAAGAAAGACACTCTTTGGCACAATCATTCTCTCTTGGGTCTGAATCCTGTTGTTTAATCTATATAAATAAAAATGTAATGTTCTTTTGTGGGATTAACATAACTAAAAAACCACTGGACGAATTGCCGCCAAATTTGGCCACAAGACACCTACTAACCCAAGGAGTGACCATCACTAAAAAATTGATTTTGTTATTTGGGAGTTGTAGTTCATAGAATCATAGAGTTGGAAGAGACCTCCTGGGCCATCCAGTCCAACCCCATTCTGCCAAGAAGCAGGAATATTGCATTCAAAGCACCCCTGACAGATGGCCATCCAGCCTCTGTTTAAAAGCTTCCAAAGAAGGAGCCTCCACCACACTCCGGGGCAGAGAGTTCCACTGCTGAACGGCTGTCACGGTCAGGAAGTTCTTCCTAATGTTCAGATACTGGGATTTATAGTTTACTCACAATCAAAGAGCATTCTGAACTCCACCAATGATGGAATAGAAGCAGAAGAAGGGGGGAGATTCTTCATCCTCTGATAGTTCTGACTCTTCCAGCAGTGACTGAGAAGCAAAGCTAGGATAATGTGGATTCATTCCAGTTCATATTGTGAACCAGTTAATTTTTTTTTTTACTGAATTAACCGTGTCGTGAAATAATACATGCCTAAAGATTGTGTCACCAACATAAAATAGTTTGAAAGCTCTGCTGTTAGGGGAATGGATCTTTATGATTCTTCCTATTCTGCCCTTCAGAGCAGCTGAAGGATATCGCCTATGGAACCAGGGCTGCCCCATTCCGAATTGATGAAGTCGACGCATCCTTGGGAACGGACCCCGACAAGGCCCCGCAATTGCGACGTGGAGAGAACCTCTTTGAGCTGCACATCTCTGGTGCTGTGCTCTCTGCCGAGGCGCTACGTCTCCTGGGAGATCCGGAGCCTGCCACCTTCTGTACATACTCCTTCTATGACTTTGAGACCCACTGCACCCCTGTAGTGTGGGGCATTCGGCCCCGGTACGACTTCACATCCCAGTATGTTGTCCGGGCCGAGCCTTTCTTCCTGCACTACCTGCAAGAGGCTGCTTGTCGCCTTGAGCTCCACCTCGCCTCTGCTGTCGACCACGCCACCCTGGCCTCCTGCCGGCTGCGTTTTGGTGAAGCCTTGGGCACCGGGGAGCAAGTCCATGCCACGGCGGTGCTGCATGGTAAGGATTGTTCCATCTGTAGTGATTCACTGAGAGAGGTGAGGAGCCATATGGCTCATTCACAGTCCAGATATCAAGAAGCTGAGGAATCCTGCATGGAACCCAACGTGCCCTCTATAAAATATCTAGGTCCTCCCAGGAATTCTATGATGTGTTTCCATCAGAAGTTAGCCTAGAGTTGCCCTGGAGGATCTATAAAATTTCCAGAGAACTATCCAAAGTCCTCCAGAGCAACTCTTTGCTAACTTCTAGCTGAAGTCATTTGTTTCATTAGGATTCACTATTATCCAGTTTTCCGTTTCCACATTCAAGAATTGCAGATAAGAGATGCTGTATATATTTTAAATGTGATGGTGATACCCTATGGATTCCTGGAATTATATTTTAGGGAGGGATATTTAAAAATCTCAGCTGGAGAGTTCCAGTTCCTCACCAGACTCCAAAACCCTAGCTTCCTTAGGATGATAGGCTGGATCTACACTGTCATATAATGCAGTTTGGAACTGTATTATATGGTTAGCATAGATCCATATAAGGCAGTTCAATGCAGTTAAACTGCATTATAGGAGTCGCTGTGGTACAATGGGTTCAACCCTTGTTCCTGCTGAACTACTGACCTGAAGGTTGGTGGTTCAAATCTGTGAAATGGGGTAAGCTCCTGTCTGTCAGCTCCAGCTTCCCATGCAGGGACATGAGAGAAGCCTCCCAGAGGATGGTAACACATCTGGACGTCCCCTGGGCAATTATCTCACACCCGAAGTGACTTGCAATTTCTCAAGTTGCTTCTGACGCAATAAAAAAACTGCATTATATGGGTCTACACTAAGTTTGAAACTGAGTATTAATGATAATGATACTGATAATACATAGTTCTTTCCCACCTCTTTTGAGACAGTATAGATTAGAGGTCATCTAACTATGGCCCGAGGGCCGGATATGGCCCTCCAAGGTCATTTACCCGGCCCTCGCTCAGGGTCAACCTAAGTCTGAAATGACTTGAAAGCACACAACAACAACAACAACAATCTTATCTCATCAGCCAAAAGCAGGCCCACACTTCCCACTGAAATACTAATAAGCTTATATTTGTTAAAATTGTTCTTCATTTTAATTATTGTATTGTTTTAAAGTGTTTTTGCACTACAAATAAGATATGTGCAGTGTTCATAGGAATTAATTCGTGTTTTTTTTTCAAATTATTATCCGGCCCTCCAACAGTTTGAGGGACTGTGACCCGACCCTCTGTTTAAAAAGTTTGAGGACCCCTGGTATAGATCCAGCCACCACATAATTTGAAAAGACCCTGTGAAGCAAAATTAGAGGGTTTTGCCTTTTGCTATGCTGTTCCCTCTTCTCGTACCACTACAATTTCCCTGTGCCCTGCTTTCTCAACCTCGTACCCTCCTCTGTCACTATAGGTGCCAATGGTGCAGATTATGGTCTTCTGGAATATTGGGTGAGGCTTCGTTTTCCTATAGAAGAAACTTTGAGGCTGCACCACCAACGGACCAAAGCTTTGGGTTACCTCTCTGCCGGAGTGCCACGCTCCACCGCAGTCCAAATGCACTGGCAAAAGGAAGGGGTAAGAAGCAAAAGAGATTGGCTTCAGATCGAAAAGCAGCAGCTTTATTCAGTGCTCTCTTTCTTATGGCATCTACAACACAACAAAAAGAAAGAAAACCGGAGACTCTTGCTTAAAACCCACAAGAGAAAGAGGAATACACCTCAGAAGCTGCTACGCTATATCCTGTGTCTCCAATGGACATATCTGTGATGGTGGTGGGGCCAGAAAAAAGTCCTTTCCTGTCAAAGTCAGGCACACACTGTGACGAAATGAAAACAATGCATAATACACATTTGATAAGCCCACACACTGCCCTTCCAGAGAAAGAAAATACACCACGCAGATGAACAGTAAATAACAAGTAGTTTACTCTTGTAGTTCAGAACAACATATTTACAATCATGTGATCAGTTGCATCGACTCACATAATGTCCTTTTATGAGAGATTGAAATGGGTCTTTCTTTGTCCATGTGGATAATCTTCTTCAGCAGCTCATGAAGCAAGAGCACACTCCAAATAGTGTCTCTCTCAGTCTGCTTCTCTCTCTTTCTCTGTGAGCACTTGCATAGCTCAAGCCTGTTAAATTTATTTATTTATCGTGTCAGGAGCAGACCAAACAGCTGTACTGCATTTTTTTTAAAGAAACAAACAAAACACAAGGTTTGCAAGCTTGGTAGTCGATTAAATGTCCTTTGACCAGTAGCTGGCCACTTGGAGTGCCTCTGGTGTTGCCGCAAGAAAGTCCTCCATCATGCATGTGGCAGGGCTCAGGTTGCATTGCAGCAAGTGGTCAGTGGTTTGCTCTTCTCCACACTCGCATGTTGTGGATTCCACTTTGTAGCCCCATTTCTTAAGATTGGCTCTGCATCTCGTGGTGCCAGAGCGCAGTCTGTTCAGCGCCTTCCAAGTCGCCCAGTCCTCTGTGTGCCCAGGGGGGAGTCTCTCATTTGGTATCAGCCATTGATTGAGGTTCTGGGTTTGAGCCTGCCACTTTTGAACTCTTGCTTGCTGAGGTGTTCCAGCGAGTGTCTCTGTAGATCTTAGGAAACTATTTCTTGATTTAAGTCATTGACGTGCTAACAAGGGATGAGCTGGAGATGTTTCTGCCTTGGTCCTTTCACTTTTGGCTGCTACTTCCTGGCGGATGTCAGGTGGTGCAATACTGGCTAAACAGTGTAATTTCTCCAGTAGTGTAGGGAGCAGACACTCCGTGATAATGCGGAATGTCTCATTAAGAGCCACATCTACTATTTTAGAGTGGTGAGATGTGTTCCACACTGGGCGTGCGTACTCAGCAGTAGAGTAGCATAGCGCAAGGGCAGATGTCTTCACTGTGTCTGGTTGTGATCCCCAGGTTGTGCCAGTCAGCCTGTTAAATGTAACAGTATCCAAAAGCCCCAGGCTTAACCATCACCCTGGGCAAAGCTCAGTCAATCAGCTTCATGCATCTTATTTTACAGTTGATACACACACACACACACACTGATTTCTTACATGCTCTAACAGACTCATATAGGGAGATTTGGTCTTATACACTGCCATATAATCCGTGTTATCAAAGCAGATAATCTGGATTTTTATATGACAGTGTAGATGGGGCCTTAGATAGCCTGAACCCAAGCCTTGGAAAAACATGACACTGTTGTTACAAATGATGATACAACTTTATGAAAACTAACAACATGCATTTCAAAAGAGATAAGTGTAAGATATTGCACTTAGACAGAAAAAAAATAAAATGCACAGATATAGGATGGGTAGCACCTGGCATGAAAACAGTGCATGTGAAAGGGATCTAGGGCAGTGGTTCTCAACCTGGGTCCCCCTGATGTTTTTGGCCTACAATTCCCAGAAATCCTAACAGCTGGTAAACTGGCTGGGATTTCTGGGAGTTGTGGTCTCCTGTAACTCTCCTTATGAAGTCCTGCTAGTGATACACAAAAAAGTCCCAATGAATCCTTTACCTCAACACACTATAATGAATAGATGCCAGGTTCCAATGCATTTGGATCCACTTGGGATTTTCCTTGACTCTGACTTCATTCTCTCTTTCCATGATAGACCCGGGGAACAAACCGAAATGAGGTCCGTGTGCGGATTGAAGGATGTTCTAGCTTACGAAGTCGCTGGCTTGGTTCTCAGCCCAGCCCTTATGCCATGTACCAGTTCTTTACCTTCCCAGATCACGACACGGTCATCATCCCTGCAAGCAACAACCCACACTTTGCAGACCTGCAAACCTTTGTAGTGCGCGTCACCCCTGAGATGCACCATTACTTACTTGTGGAGAGCCTGTGGGTGTATGTATTTGATGATGAGGATGAGGATCCCGGAAACTACCTGGGCAAAGCCCAAGTCCCACTGCTGCCACTGGCCAATGGACGCAGCATCTCAGGTGAAAGACAGGTCCCTCTGCAATCTTTGTACCTGTTAATGTCTGAAGGGACCCCACTTTGACCAGAAGCTGGCCACTTTGAGTGCCTCTGGTGTCACTGTAAAAAGGTCCTCCATTGTGCATGTGGCAGAGCTCAGATTGCACTGTAGTAAGTGGCCTGTGGTTTGCTCTCCACCGCACTCTCATGTCATGGACTCCACTTTGTGGCCCGATTTCTTAAGACTGGCTCTGCATCTCATGGTGCCAGAGCACAGTCTGTTCAGTGCCTTCCAGATAACCCAGTCTTCTGTGTGCCCAGGAGGGAGTTTCTCATCTGGTATCAGCCACTGATTGAGGTTCTGGGTTTTGCCTGCCACTTTTGGACTCTTGCTTGCTGAGGTGTTCCTGTGAGTATCTCTATAAATCTTAGAAAGCTGTTTCTTGATTTAAGATGTTGGCAGGCTGACTGATATCCGATGGGCGAGAGATGTCCATGCCTTGATCTGCTACTTCCAAGAAGATGTCAGGTGGTGCAATACTGGCTAAACGGTATAATTTGCCTGCCACTTTTGGACTCCTGCTTGCTGAGGTGTTCCTGCAAGTATCTCTATAAATCTTAGGAAGTTGTTTCTTGATTTAAGATGTTGGCAGGCTGACTGATATCCGATGGGCCAGAGATGTCCATGCTTTGGTTTGCTACTTCCCAGCAGATATCAGATGGTACAATACCGGCTAAACAGTATAATTTCTCCAGCGATGCAGGGTGTAAGCACCTTTGATAATGCGGCATGTCTCATTAAGAGCCACATCCACTGTTTTAGTGCGGTGAGATGTGTTCCACACTGGGCATGCATATTCAGCAGCAGAGTAGCATAGCGCAAGGGCAGATGTCTTCACTGTGTCTGGTTGTGATCCCCAGGTTGTGCCAGTCAGCTTTCGTATGATATTGTTTCTAGCACCCACTTTTTGCTTAATATTCAAGCAGTGCTTCTTGTAGGTCAGAGCACAGTCCAAAGTAACTCCCAGGTATTTGGGTGTGCGCAATGCTCCAGTGGGATTCCTTCCCAGGTAATCCTCAAAGCTTGAGATGTTCTTAAGGTGAAAAGCACATGTCTGTGTTTTAGATGGATTATGAATCAGCTAGTTTTTCTTGTAATAGGCAGTAAGAGCAACTAAAGCTTTGAAGAGCTTCTTTTTGACTGTTTCAAAGCTCTCTGCTTGAGCGGTGATGGCATGATCGTCAGCATAGATGCAGCTCTCTGTCCCTTCTGGTAGTGGTGCAATGACAGGTTGCTCCTTTCCTGGGAATAAGTTCCATTGAACCTAACAGTTCATTCAGTTAGCAAGCAGTCTTGTCTGGAGTTACTAAGTTGGTTTGAACTTGACTGAGAAGTTGCTCTGAAACTTGCAAATTAAAATGATGTACCTAGAGACTGTGCGGACCTGAGCATTTGGGACCTCACTATCTCTGAATATCTTGAAGCTGCCTCCAATGGGTGGAACAGTCAGCCCACCACATTAGGGGTGCTGGATTCACAAAAAAACACAAATAAGCCCCACTATTTTAACCTCACTAAGAATCTCTAGGTCCTCCAGTGTGATATTATGGCCAACTTCCACTGGAATCACACCAGAGAACTATGTGTTTTTTCTCACCCATCCTCGTCTTTTTCTCCTCCTCCAGGAGACTTTGTCCTCTTGGACCCAGCCGGCAAGCCCAATGGTTCCATCCGCCTGAGCCTGGAGTGGAGCCTTCTTTATGTGCCTCCTGAAGAGGTTGGTGTACTTGGACCCACAGATTCGAAGCCTATGGGACAGCAGATTGAGAAGAAACAAGCCAGGCTGAGGAACCAGGTGATAAAAGCTTAGCTGAGGAATCAATCATAGCTGCTGGACTGTACTGGGACATTTAGTTTCTTTGTTTTGGACAAGTCCCAGAGTCTCCTAGGCTGCATCTACACCAGGCATGGGCAAACTTCGGCCGTCCAGGTGTTTTGGACTTCAACTCTCACAATTCCTAGCAGCCAAATAGAGTCAACAAACTAGAACTCTCATGATTCCAATGCATTGAACCATGGTAGTTAATGCAGTGTCAAACCACATTCATTCTACAGAGCATTAGGGGAATTACTTCTTTTGGATTACAGTCTCTAGAATACTGGGTTTTCTCTAAGTATTGTGGTCCAAATAGTATTACTACTACTACTACTATTACTATATATGTTCAGAAACTCTGAAATATTGAGTCTGCTTTCTCCAATGTCCTTTTAGAAGCCAAGAGAAAGCAATGCCGGCCTTTTGCCTTCCAGTCGCCAGAGCAAGAAGCCACGTCTGAGCCTGCCTGAGGCAGAGAAACGGACCCTGAAACACACCAAGCTGGCCAATGGACCCAAGACCCCACAAGTCCAAGTGAGTCCAGTGGTGAAGCCCACAAGACTCGTGGCAAAGGAGCAAGTGGAGGAAGAGGCTCAGGAGGTATGAGATCGGCATTGACAACATTTTGCTAACAGGAAACATCTAAATTAATCTATCATTGATTGAAGTTCTGGGTTTGAGCCTGCCACTTTTGGACTCTCGCTTGCTGAGGTGTTTCAGCCAGAAGCGGCCGGTTTATTACTCTTATACCTTGTGAAAGGGGGGAAAGGATCTGAGTGCTGAGATCATATATCACAGTCTATGTTTTGTAATATTATGAACCTGTAGCTACATAACCCTGGGTGCATCTACACTGTGGAATTAATGCAGTTCGGCGTCACTTCAATTGCCATGTCTAAGTACTATGCAGTACTGGGAGTTGTAGTTTGGTGAGGCACCTTTCTGGGAGAGAAAGCTCAAGACCTTGTAAATTTACAATTCCTCCAGTTCCGTGGCATCAAACCATGGCCGTTATAGTGGTGTCAGACTTTATTAATTCTACAGTGTAGATCAAGCATGGGCAAACTTGGGCCCTCCAGGTGTTTTGGACTCCAACTCCCACCATTCCTAACAACCTCAGGCCCCTTCCTTTTCCCTCTCAGCTACTTAAGCCTACTACAATGACATAGTAAAAGCTACAGTTCTATATAAGCAGGTATGCCTGTAGCTTAGTAGGCCTCTGTGCTAGTTTGCCTCAGTGGGAGAAAGGTCTCTGTCTGTGAGAAGGCCTCACAGTGTGAGGTAAGCCTCAGTATGAGAAGGCCTTGTATGTGAAGTTCCAGTGTGAATTCTAGAGAATGGAAGCTGCTGTTTGGAGCTGGGACTAAGCTTACAGTAAGACCCAGTGAGAAGGCTTAAGTGGCTGAGGGGGAAAAGGAAAGGGCCTGAGGCTGTTAGGAATGGTGGGAGTTGGAGTTCAAAACATCTGGAGGGCCCAAGTTTGACCATGCCTGGAGTAGATGCACCCAAACAGAACCTACATTTCAGGGCATGTTAAAATAGATCGGTATATTTGCTGATCTGATCTGAAGAGTTGGGAAAGAGAATCTTTGCTCGTGGAAATGTTTTGAACTTGCTGCCTTTCCCCATCATCTTTTTTTTACTCCTGACCAAACAGAGGTCTGTGTCTGGACAGGTACTGCTAGAAGAGATAAGAGAAGAAGGGGAGGAAATCCTGGCTGTGGAAGAAGCAGCTGCGGCGGAAAGTCAGCGGGGATCAGATGCTGGATCAAGCATAGAGGCGGAAGCAGGTATGCCAAAGAAAACTGGTACTGGGTGTAACCAACAAGCAGTAGGACTGTAACCATATTGTAGAATTAATGCAATTTGACACTACTTTAACCGTGGGCCACTGTGTGTAATTCTGGGATATGTGGTCTCTTTGACAGGGAAGGCTAAAGACCTTGTAATACTACAGCTCCCAGCATTTCATAGTATTAAGCCATAGCAGCTAAAATGCATTAATTCCGACGCATAGGTACACCTTGTTGGGCGAGTGGGCTTATTAACAAAAGGCCCTCCTCATAAATGCACAGCAGAGTAACTTATCAGCAGCAGTGTGACCCGGCACCAGTAGCCAAAAGTGATAAAAATAATGTTGTACACCAGAGCAGGAACACCTCTGATCTTAAACACCACATCAGCTTGGTAAAATCAGCAAGCAGTTTATTGAAAAATATATGTAGGCAAAGCAGTAAAATGAGCAAAAACAGTACAGTTCCAAAACAAAGGATAGTCCATGAGCTTAAAAGAAAATAAGATCAATTGGAACAAAAATCCATGAAACAAGACAGCATGAAAAATCCAATACACAAACTGAGAGCTTGGCACATGGTACATGAAACTAAGAACACTTGAAAGCAAGACTGTCATGAAATTCCAACGTTGACCCAAATGAGGCAACTCATACCCATTAATCAATATAAAGCTTTACCAGATCCAAAAACTGAAAGGAACGCATTTCTCTTGACATTACCACCAGATAAAGTTTCTTATCTCTCTTTTCCTGTAAACCAGTGGTTCTCAGCCTGTGGGTCCCCAGATGTTTTGGCCTTCAACTCCCAGAAATCCTAACAGCTGGTAAACCGGCTGGGATTTCTGGGAGTTGTAGGCCAAAACACCTGGGGACTAACAGGTTGAGAACCACTGCTGTAAACAAACTGATCTTCTTTGCACCTGAGCACTGTCTCTGTTTACAAAAGCCTTGCTGTCTATCTACACTCATTAACATGACTCTCATTAATTTGTGCACCTGACAAATCATCTTCAGACAGTTGCTCTGAGACAGACTGTGAAGGGCCTCTCCCAGGAATGCGACCTTGTGAATCTTCCTGAGACAGCTAGGGCCTCTCATCTGAACTTAACTTAGAATTGGTCAAACCCTCATCCCCACTGTCAACAGACCAAGACCCACCATCAGGAACATCATATCTATTCCCAGCATGAACATCAGACACAAACACCGGCTGAACAGACTAACATACATCAAAGAACAAAAACACAGAGACCAATGGGTTGTTGTAGATTTTTTGGGCTGTATGGCCACATTCTAGAAGCATTCTCTCCTGACATTTCACCTGCATCTATGGCAGGCAAGGAGGCAAGGATGCCTGCCATAGATGCAGGCAAAATGTCAGGAGAGAATGCTTCTAGAACGTGGCCATACAGCCCGAAAAACCTACAACAACCCAGTGATTCTGGCCATGAAAGCCTTCAACAATACACAGACCAATGTTATCTCTTCCACCTGAGGCTTTTCTCGATAGAAAAACAATATGGTTACACTATTTACAAGGTCAAGATTTCCACAACACAAATAAAATTCAACCTTCACACTGGAGCTTCACACATGAGGCCTTCTCATACTGAGGCTTACCTCACACTGTCAGGTATTCTCTAACAGACTGAGACCTTTCTCCCACTGAGGCAAACTAACACAGAAGCCTACTAAGCTACAGGCACACCTGGTTATCTAAAACTGCTCCTTTTGCTGAGTCATTGCATCCATTTAATCCTTTCCGTGCTCGACTCACATTTTTGTAATTAAAAATGCCTAATTAATTTCTAATATTTCTGATACACCTTTAGACACAAGTGTATTCTATTCTCAATATGAGGAAACCATTTTTAATATTACAAAACCTGGAACATCAATATAATCAATCCAAGGCCCAGGAGTGAACACAGATTTTTAGGACCTCTGTCTTCTCCATTCTTGCTTACAGCTTCAGAGGAAGCGGAGAGTGATGCTCCAACGACAGAGAGCGACGAAGTGGTCATGGCCTTATCAAGCCTACGAGAGCCTCTGCAACTTGTATGTACCACTTCTGCTGCTTTAACTATATAATCACTTATGCACAAAATTGTGCCAAAATTACAATGTTTTGATACTCTGTTTTTCCCAGAAAAGATACAGTAGTCTCGCTTATCCGACCTTCGCTTATCCGACATTCCGTCTTACCCGACGCTCTTATTTGACGCCCTCCTTTTCCTCCAGCATTTCAATTAAAGGAGCCCAACTCTCTCTCCAATAAGTGAAATAGGCAAGACAAGGAAGAGGAGGAGGGAAGAAAAAGGGAAAAGAGGCAGGACCAGAAGTGGAATCATCCTCCCTCCTTCCCTCTGTGATTTCCATGCTCCTCTTCCTCCACATCCAGGCACTTCCTACCTTGAGTCCCTGTTGTTAGTATTCTAGGTGTCAAGTACTGTGCCGGATAGGTAACAGTAGGAGTCTCCACATTATCTGACATTTTCATTTATCCGATGCTCTACCAGCCCATTTATGTCAGATAAACAACTCTACTGTAGCTATTTTTGCCCATTGTAGGGTAAGCTGATGCACTACGATCATTTCATGTCAGATGCATAGAATATAGGACATGAAACTCCAGAACCATAGAGTTGGAAGAGACCCCCAAGGGCTATCCAGTCCAACCCACTGCCATGCAGGAAGACACAATCTAAGCACTCCTGACAGATGGCCATCCAACCTCTATTTAAAACCTCAACTGGAGAAGCATCCACCACTTTCCTAGGCAAAATATTATGCTGCCAAACAGGCTTGATTGTCAGGAAGTTCTTCCTAATGTCAAAGTAGAATATCTTTTTCAGTGGTTTCAATCCATGACTCTGTGTCCTAGAATAGTATCATGCTAAGGTTAGAAAATGGGTTCTACATTTGTAAATCTGTTTTCTAGTCAACAGGTCTTAATTAGAGAAAACATTTCAAAGGAGAAAATACTCGGAGACTTGCATTGCTCAATAATCCTTCTATCCTTCAGGAGCCTTCTGACAGAATTCGGCTGGAGATCATCTCTCTGAGTCTTCTCCCGGAGAGTGAACCTGTTTCCGATGAGCACATCCAACAGCTGTATGTGGAATATCACTTTCCAGGGTTGCCGCTGGAGGAAACGGAGACCCCTTTCTCTTTGCGGAAGCCAGAGGGAGATCAGGAAATCTACTTCCATTTCAGCAAAGGTGAGGAAGAGCCTTACATTAAGTGTCCTTGCTCCAGAGAGAAAATTGTCACGGATAGAAAGGCACATTCATTTACACAGAAAGCAATCACATCTCTCAGAAGGGCAAAGTCCCCAAAAACATGCCTTCCTTAAAGCAGTGTCCTCTGATCTGCTGGAACTACAGTTATTATTATTATTATTATTATTATTATTTGAAACACAACAAGATGAGTCCACAGCAGACACTCTGCTGGCTGTTGAATTGGATCACACATCGGACACTTCCCAAGTGTCTAGGACTGTGTGATGTATCAGCAATAATGTGTGCAGATCCCAGTAAGGTGGCCTTCTGCAGCTGGCAGATGGGTAATTTTGTCAGTGCTGATAGTGTTTAAGTGCAGGCCAAAGTCTTTAGGCACTGCACCCAGTATGTCGATCACCACTGGGACCACCTTGACTGGCTTGTGCCAGTTCAATCTTTAAATGGGGTTTCTATTATTATTATTATTATTATTATTATTATTATTATTATTATTATTTGACACAAAAGCACAGTATGTCACAGCAAACGAGATCTATATGCTGGATTTCGTATCACAAAATCACAAGCCGAACACTTCCCAAGCCTCTAGGACTGTGTGATGTATTTTCGAATGATGTGTGCAGATCCAAGTCAGATGGCTTTTTGCAGTTGACAGATTGTGATTTTGTCAATGTTTATTGTTTCCAAATGCCGGCTGAGATTTTTTGGCATGGCACCCTTTGTGCCGATCACCACTGGGACCACCTGTACTGGTTTGTGCCAGAGCCTTTGCAGTTCGATTTTGATAATGGCTGAGTTTTTCCTGTTGTTTTTCCTCAATGCGACTGTCACCCGGTATGGCGACATCAATAATCCAAACTTTTTTCTTTTCCACAATCGTGATGTCTGGTGTATTGTGTTCCAAAACTTTTCTCAGTTTAGATTCCAAAGTCCCACAGTATTTTTGCATGTTCATTTTCCACGACCTTTGCAGGTTTATGATCCCACCAGTTCTTTACAACTGACAGGTGGTACTTGTGACATAAGTTCCAATTAATCATTTGGGCCACAGAGTTGTGCCTCTGTTTGTAGTCTGGACAATTTTCTTGCAGCAGCTGAGGATATGATCCATGGTTTCATCCACTTCCTTGTACAGTCTGCATTTTGGGTCATCAGCTGATTTTTCGATCTTAGCCTTAATGGCATTTGTTCTGATGGGTTGCTCCTTATTATTATTATGTTTATTATGCTTGTTTATATCCCGCCTTCTCTCTCCATATGGACACTCAAAGTGACTCAAAATTACAATACAATACAATGTGTTGTCAAAGGCTTTCATGGCTGGAACTGACCTCATAACCTCTGAGGATGCCTGCCATAGATGTGGGCGAAACACTGGCAACGCTATTGCTTTCATATAAATGTTACCTGAACCTTTCCTCTGCAGTGATCAGACTGGACCCGAACCCTGCAAGTCTCCAAAGGCAGCTGCTGTTCTCTATGCTGGAGGCAGAGGAACCTGAGTGTAACCAGTGAGTATCTGTCTACCTTTCTCTTGAAAATCTGGGGGACTAGAGATGGTCTTCATGTTTGTGTATTCATGGAATCTCCTGCTGTAATTCAGGCTGCAGTTTGTCGTGGTGAGTGAGCCATTGCCTGGAACTGGGGGAGACTGCGAGGAGGTGGGCTTTGCATACCTGGATTTGCGAGAGATCCTTCTCACCGGGCGCGACGTGCTGGAAAAAGAGCTTTGGGGTAAGCAACAAGGTTCCTTTTCTCACCTAGGACAAAAAGTACAATTAAATGGCAAACCAACATACCTTAGGATATGGCTGGAGAGTTTTAAGATAGGCTGTAATGCAATGGTGTCCCCTGAAAAATATTACCCCAACTTTTTACTAAAAATGAACCCCTAACAGGTATGTGAGTAATATTGCTATATTTATGCCCCACCCACACCCCAGTTTAGCAAGTAAATTGGAATTTAACTTCCTATTTATCTCCTCTGGAGACTCTGGTGATGCAGTGGGTTAAAGCAGGGCAGGATAGGGGAGCCCAAGCCATGACCCACAAACCTTAGGTATTGCTCTTCCTCTTAACAAAAGGATCACTGGTTTGTTGCCTTAGCAGACCACAAGTTAAACATGTCAACAGTATGATGTGCAGCCAAGGATGCCAGTGCTATTCTGCTCTGCATCAATAGAAGTATAGTGTTGGGATCACGGAAAATCATAGTCCTGCTCTAGTCTGCTTTGGTCAAACCTCACCTGGAATATAGGGTCCAGTTCTGGGCAAAGCAATTCAAGGAGACGGGCCATCTAGAATGTGTCCAGAGAAGGGCGACCAAAATGGTCAAAGGTTTGGAAACCAAGCCCTATAAGGGAAGTCCGAGGAAGTTTAATGTTTAGCTTGGAAAAGAGAAGGCTGAGATGAGGGGAAACAAGATCCATGTTTATTATTATTATGATTATTAATATTTTATTTTTATTCCGCTTTATCTTCCCAGAGGGATTCAGAGCAGATTACAGAACACATAGAATCATAGAGTTGGAAGAGACCTCGTGGGCCATCCAGTCCAACCCCCTGCCATGAAGCACGAAAATTGTATTCAAAGCACCCCCGACAGATGGCCATCCAGCCTCTGTTTAAAAGCCTCCAAAGAAAGAGCCTCCACCACACTCCTGGGCAGGGAGTTTCACTGCTGAACAGCTCTCACAGCCAAGAAGTTCAGATGGAATCTCCTTTCTTGTAGTTTGAAGCCATTGTTCCACGTCTTAGTCTCCAGGGCAGCAGATAAGGCAAACATTCAATGCCTTTTGACACGAACAACATACAATACACAGTTAAGGTAAAGGTCTTCCTCTATCTCCGGTGTCTGGAAGTGACACTCAACTTCCAGTCATGGGGAGGTGCTCTTGTTCTATTTTCCATGCCGAAAGAGCCTGCTGTCTATAGACATCTCCAATCATTTTGCCGGCATGTCTGCATGTGGTGCGCTTTTACCAATAGGCAGTACGTATTGATCTACTCGCATTGCATGCTTTCAAACTGCTAGGTAGGCAGAAGCTAGGACTGACAGTCAGGAGCTCACCCCACTTGTGGCTTCAAACAGTTGACCCTCTGGTCAGCCACCTTTCCTGCAGCTAGTATCTTTAACTGCTATGCTACTGTGGTTAAATATTTGAAATGATGTAACACTGAGGAGAGGGTAACCTTGTTTTCTGCTGCTCTGGAGACTAGGACATAATGGAGGAATGGATTCAAGCTGCATAAAAAGAAATTCCACCTAACATTGGGAAGAACTTCCCGATGATAAGAGCTGTTGGACAGTGGAACATGTTGCCTGGGAGTGAGTCTCATTCTCGAAACAGCCATCTTTCAGGAGGGCTTTGATTATATTTTCCTGCATGGCAGGGGGTTGGACTAGATGGCCGCTTGCGGTCTTCCAGCTCTGATACTATGAAGACGAAACATTCCCAGATCTTATAGGCCCATTCCTCCTTTTGCAACTACAAAAAGCTCAGTCTTGAGATTATCTTATTAAAGACAGTTTCATGACAAAAAGCACATTCTTTTTCCATTACCAATCTCTTCCAAATGAAAGGTATTTTTTAAGTAATGGAAAGAAAGTAATTCATTAAAACTGTTGTCATTTCAGTGGTGAGTTCTTTAGATCCTGAGACGTACGTTGGGAAGCTGAAAGTATCCATGGAAGCAGCTGCCGCCCTGCGCGCGGTCTATTGGGCCGGCAAAAGCAAGAAGACCGAGGAAAGATAACCTGATTGGGAGAAACAACAGAACCAACAGGATCCCGCAACTAAGCAACCGCTCTGAGATAAAAGCAGAGATGAAGCCCAAGAGAAATAAATCTTTCCAAATACTTAAAAAAACATTTTTATTGATCATTTTTTTCCAAAGTCAAAAATACTGAGTGCTAATGGCTACAGGGGGAAAAAAGAGTTTGAGAAAGTGCCTCCCCCCTCCCTCCCTCGCCCATGCCTGGATCACTGACCCTTAAACCCACAGGAAACAAGGGGGGCAGAGGACAGGCAATGCGTTCAACCCCCACAAACCCTAAAACACTTGCTAATTGGAGACTAAACAGGGCAACTGAGAAAAGAGATAAATACAGACAGAGACTGACAATGTTGTTTTTTTTTAAAAAAAAAAATCAAAAATAGGGTTTGGGGAGGGGGGAGTAAGAATCTTTTTGTCTCAATTGTGTCTTCGCCCCACATCCTGGTATAGAAAATGCTAGGCCCTCCTCTCCAAACCATCCCATTGTGAGGCTTCCTCTCTCAACCATTTTTTGAATTCACAAAAAGTGGGACACAACCCACTTCTTTCCCTATCAGTAAATGACAACATGAAAGCAGCACACTGTCTGCTTCGCTAAAGTATATGTTCTTACTCTGAACTAATTCCCAGGCCAACCCACTGCTGCTTCGGCCCACACTTTGTCTAAAGACAATGAAAGTCAAGGAGGTTTTGAGGGCATTCAAGAGACAATATATACCCCACAGACGGGAGGACAGAGAAATGGGGGGAAAGGGGAAAGCAGAGAATAGTTATAGCTGAGACCGGATTCCTGAACCTCACACCCCAATCCTCTCGGGCAGATTTTGTGTCCATAGCTAACACCACAGCATGGCCTGGAATATCTCTCACAGATCATTGGTCCATATCAAAGGTCAGGAACAATTCAAGGAATAGAAACAAAACAAAAATACTCCCCAGAGAAACGGAAAAAAAAGAAGGGCAAAGGTGTGTTTGTGTGTGAGGGGAAGATGAAAGAGTTTGTGGGGAAGGCTGGCAACAACCCTCCCGCCCATGCCCGAAACGTTGTTGGCGGCTGGATGGGGCCTCAAAAGCCCCGACCCCTGAAAAATTGGCAGATGGGAAAGGCTGGTGTTCGCCATCTACTTCCTCTTCTTCTTGGGGGGAGCCGAGCTTCGGCCAGGGCTGCGGCTGTGGGAACTCCGGTGATGCCCCGAGCTATGGGACGAGCCGCCCTTCCTCTTGCGGGAAATGGTGTGGCTCCTCTCCTCCTCTTCTTCGTACCGGCTCTCGCGGTCGGCTGCAGGGAAGGAAACAAGGGGTCAGACACGATGGGGAAGAAAATCACTACTACGAGTGTTGAATGAAAAGTAATGCCTCCACCTTCGTTACTTGGGTTTGGATGGGAATGTTTTAATAAATCAAAGGCACTGGGATTGTGGCGCAGCTGGCTGAGTGTCAGCTGCATTAAGATCACTCTGACCAAAAGGTCATGAGTTCAAAGCCAGCCCGGGTTGGAGTGGGCTTCCAACTAATTGTGTAGCAACCCGAAAGACAGTTGCATCTGTCAAGTAGGAAAATTAGGTACCACCTTGTGTGGGGAGGCTAAATTAACTAATTTATGAGGCCATAAAAAAGACTCCAGCAAAGCACTCCAGCAAAGCATGCGGGGAATGCGGAAGTACTTCATCAGTGTCGCAGATGGACAATGAAAGCGACAGCTCCCCTGGCGGCCAGAAAAAGTTAAATAGCCTCTGTGTATGTCTGTATATGTTGTATGTCAAATTGCCATTGAATGTTTGCCATATATGTGTACACTGTAATCCGCCCTGAGTCCCCTGCGGGGTGAGAAGGGCGGAATATAAATGCTGTAAATAAATAAATAAATAAAATGCAGAAATAATCCTTAGAATGTTTTCTTTAACTACCACTATTCACTTTCCCACATAATCACCAGACAATTGGATACATTTCTGCCAACGATGAACAAGTTTTCTGAAGCCGTCACGGAAGAAGTCGACACTCTGTTTCCGCAATCCATCGTGCACAAATCTTCCGATAGCCAAGCAAAGCAATAATGTGACCCACACGTTCTTGTAAAATGCCGATTATGCTTGAAATTTCTCTGAGTGATGCGACGATCATCCTGAATCAATCTGTCAACCTTTTGCTTGTGAAATTCGGTGCTTGCTGTCCCAGGACGTCCAGCTCTTTGTCACGCAAGTCAGATGTTCCCGCCTCAACATCTTTAAACTTACTCGTCCAACGACGCACAGTACTCACATCAACACAATCACCATAAACAGCTTGCATTCTCTGATGAATCTCCTTTGGGGTGACACCTTCTGCTGTCAAGAATTCAATGACTGCACATTGTTTAAGTCGCATTGATCGACCATATGCGCAGGGTTCCATACTTCGCACTTTAGCAACACGACTGTTCAATGCTAAGGCTTCCTGCCAAAATGGAACTGTAGAGGAGAGTCTACTGAACAAGCCAGTACCTGCAGCATACCAGTACTGCCATCTGTAGAGGAGTTACGAAGGTGGAGGCATTACTTTTCATTCAACCCTTTATGTAGCAAGAGCTCAATTTGCCCCATTGCCTTCTCAAGGCTCAATGCCTGGAAAAGCAGGTTGGTTTTGTGGCTGACTGACAAGAAACAGGGAGGGTCTTACCTTTCCGTGCCTCTTCTTCCAGCTCGTCCCAATCTTTCCCTCTCTCTTCTTCGCTCCCGAGGGAATCCTTCGAGTAATCTGTCAAGAAAAGGGGGCTCAGAGTCATTTTCCACACATTCAGAGGAAGTGAGATGTTTTCAAGGAGGTGTAATTCAGATTTGCCCAAACTTGCTTCCACTGTAACAAAATATCTAATTATAGTATAGGTTTTGAATAGGTTTATTATGGTTAGTATATTGTAAGCGCAAGCCAGCTTTGCTACAGCTACTTAGTTGGTGCATTGCCATAGTAACTAAGCTTGCAGTAGAAATGTCTCTATTTCAGCAGTGCTCAGGAGCCAAAGGGGATGGAGCTAACTGCCAATGGAAGTAGACATTTTAAAAATGATAGCAAGTCTTTGGCTGGCTGAGCCAAAGGGAGGTTGGTTCTGGCGATGTTAGAGCTAGACCAAGGAGTTTAAGTTTTCAGCCTTGAAATTTAGTGTTAAATGAACCGGTTTTGAATTAGAAACTAGCTTGTGAGCTAGGGGAAAGGAATGCCTAGTAATACTTTGTGTCTTCAGTGGTAGAGCTGAAGTAAAACAAAAGGCAAATCTGTGCCTAAGTGTCAGTCAGTGGAACTGAGAATAAAAGCGTACTTTGAGAGAAAAATTCACGGTTAACCTATTGCTAAGGTGAAGAAACTACAAGATTACATTTACCCGGTCAGTAGACTGTGAAAGAATAACATTTTAAGTAAAGGAGAGTATTAAAGTCAAGCTGGCAAGAAGATAAGCCATTCTGGAAGTTATAAAGAAACTGTTTCAAGTATTCATGATAATAAAAGTTAACTGTAACTATAACTAAAGAAAACAGAGAATAAACTACTGTGTAACTTTGTAGTTTATTGGAAGTTTTTGCTGAGCGGCAGGAACAGCCAGAGGGTGAGAACTCTACCTTAGAACTCCTGCCTGGGGCCAGCCTTTCCAAACATACTGGGCGTGGCCCCCACAGCTGTGCCATCTCACCTGACGCCAGCAGCAGATAAAACAGCCAGCACTAGACCCAGAGCCTGCTTTGTGTGCCTAAGCTTTGTGTGCCTGAGAATCCTCAAATAAATATTTCTTTGTTCAATTTCTTATAACAAAGACTTGTGTCAAGTTTCTGAAGTGAAGATTTATCTCAAGGAAGACAGCTGAAGATTTTTGGGAACAGGATTCAGTTTATGGTATTGGGTACACATATTAAAGTGTCACAAACAAGGTATTTTAAAAGTCAAACCTCTCTCATCTCAAGCCTCATACCAGTCTCACTCTCACGCTTCACACAAATACACACACACACAAAAGTGCTCAGTCACAGCTACAGTACACACTCCTCTGTTATTTACTCTTCTCGTTGCCCAGTTCATTTGAGTTGTGTGTGTGTCTCATATATTTACTGGTGACAGCGGTGGGATAACAAAATAAAAGCCCCCCCTGCCTGGAAGTTTTTGCTGAGCGGCAGAAACAGCCAGAGGGTGAGAACTCTACCTTAGAACTCCTGCCTGGGGTCAGCCTTTCCAAACATACTGGGCGTGGCCCCCACAGCTGTGCCATCTCACCTGATGCCAGCAGCAGATAAAACAGCCAGCACTAGACCCAGAGCCTGCTTTGCAATCCAACTATGTTAAGCCAATCAATAAGATCTTGGCACTATAGGACTTTTACCAACATGGATAGAGACACCTTACCATCACGAGAAAAAACACCCCCCATCTGCCTCCCAAAGGACCTCATACCACAGTTTATCCCCCCCCCCCCCCTGAAGAGCTGGGTTACATTCCTGTACCTAAACAGTATTCAGAGGACTCCTTAATTGTGGGGATCTGGGAATCTCTGGGAGGGCATAAAGAATGGGGGTGGATATTATGGGGAGGCGGGTGTGGGAGGGGGCTGGTAACTAGACCCCTATAGGTCCTATAATAATTTTCTTTGGCCAGCACCTTAATCACTCTGACTTGGACACCACCTCAGCCCTGTTGACTTGTAAATGCCTTTTTACTTTTAATGTTTTGAGTGTTTGCTATCATTAGATCTAGTAGTAAACATGTTCTAAATGTTTGATTTATATATTTAAATGTCTAAGTTTGTTATTTTTGAGTTGTTCTATAAGTACACCTGATGTTGTTTATTTTATTGTTTATGATTTGATTTGTTTGTTATGTTATGCTGGCATTGAATGTTTGCCAATTTTCTGTTGTAAACCGCCCTGAATCCCCTCGGAGAGATAGGGCTGTATAGAAATAAAGTTTTTATTATTTTTATTACTATTATTATTATTATTATTATTATTATTATTATTATCTTTACACACACACACACATAAAAGTGCTCAGTCACAGCTACGGTACACACTCCTCTATTATTTACTCTCCTCGTTGCCCAGGTCGTATGGGTTGTGTGTGTGTCTCATATATTTATTGGTGGCAGCGGTGGGATAACAAAATAAAAGTCTCCCCTGCCTGGAAGTTTCTATCTTTATAATAATAATAAAAATAATAATAAAAATAATAATAATAATAATCCTTTATTTATACCCCGCCACCATCTCCCGCAGGACTTGGTGTGGCTTACAAGAGGCCGAGTCCAAATACATCATAAAACATAACAACAAACAACAATAAATAAATCATAACAAAGCAAACAATACAATAATGACGCGACACATTTTAAAAACCTGTG